GAGAGATATTATGCTTAAACAATGTTAAATTGTTTCTTCAATGATTCATATGCCACTTTATCTACACAAAAAGAAATCCATATGCCTACATAATTCCAACTATAATGTGAATGTCTCCGACTAAAAAAAGAAAATATTATACTTACATAAACAAAAACTCATATTATGATTTGTCTTATTGAATGACACCTCAAATAGACAAAAATGCAAATAACATCCACAAATTTATAACTGAATAGAGAGAAAAAATCGAGAGATTAATAGAGAGATTATCATAGAAGTGTACCACAAAATTATACATGAATATAGAGGAAGAATTGAGAGATTATTATAGAAGTTTACCTTGAAGAGAAAATGAAAATTTGTAACCAAATAGAGAGAAATAATGAGAGTTAAAAGAGTAATTATTATAGGAAATATGAATAGGTTGAAACAACCTAATTAAAAGGTCTTAAATGTGAATATTAAAAATCAAAAACAAATATTGAGGTAGGAAAAGCTTGAAAAAAGGAGAAAAAAAATAAAACATTTTCTTGTTTTGAGAAGAGGCCACATCATTACATGTGGTTTCTTCTTTAATATATATATAGATTTTATCAGTAACATATCAGTCTTTGTAACGTTTGAAATGATTATGTCAAGTCTTTTGTTTATTTTGTTGTAATTCTTTCATAAACAGATATTCACGCAATTAAATGTTAGAATATCATTGTGTTACTGGTTAAAAGGGATAGAAAATATAAAATTTTAAAACTTTGTTGCAATTTGCCAGCTTCTTACATGCAATATCATTAAAAAAGTGTGGGGAAAACTCGTTCTAAAAAGGACATTTATATATTTTTCACTTGGTCAGTGTCAAATAATTGTTCTGCTGCTCGTGGAAGATTGTTTAGAGAAATAAATGTTTTATATATATTTTAATAGAAATAAATACAGTAGCAACACGACTTGTTAAGAGTCCAACGAATGAACACAAGAAAAAATAATTGGAGTTTTGTGAGGGATATTGGGATCTAAGTGTTTGCCACTACATCAAAAGCAATTGTTGGTGGAGAAACGTAACTTATTTTCTTATAGCGTAGCAGTCAACGTCACGTTCCGATTTAGGAAGATGTTGGTCAATTACCCAACAACCCCCCAACATCTGTCAGCACTAACAAAATCTTTGCTATGAGATAGTGACTTCATAGCATGTCTTTGGCATTATTACGCACCTTACGGAATTTGAACCCGTTACCTGATTTGATACCACATGTTAAGATCAAAACGTTTATCATTACGTCAAAAGCAATTGTTGGTGGAAAGCACAACTTATTTCCTTATAGCGTAGCAGTTAGGGCTACGTCTTAATTTATTAAGATGTTGGTCAATGACCTAACAAAGAAGAATCAATATTATTGGTAACATATATTTTACACAAAACATATTGCAAATTAGTATTACAGCTTTCACATAAATGGCGAAAAGCAACGCTTTAGCTGGACTATATACACGTATACTTGAGCGTCTAAGCTGCTCTATTCAACGTAAGACAGATGAATCCCATGGAAATTGACGGGGGTCACTTGCCCTCATTCATTTGTTTGCGGGTCCGCTACTGGTTTTATCCCCGAATTAGCAAGATTGTCGAGTGTTTGGACATGCCAGCTTCCCAACTGCTGAAGAGGGTTGATGTTCCCACATTTGTTGGTCGTAGACTCTGATAGATTTAAATTTGATTTCTTAACGACAGAAACACATAAAGAAATATTTGTTGCTCAATGTTTTTCCCGTAAAATATCCCTTTAAACATTAACATGTCTAAATGGTTGTTCGTTCACGATGTAAATAATCTTCGATTTGTGATCATACTTCAGTTTATCAACATCAAGCTCTTCAGTCAAAATATCGGTTAGTTGCAGGTACGTTACGTATTTTTCTTCATGAAACAATACGAAGAAACTCATGTGCTGGTTAAGTTCAATCGACTGGATGTCTATATCAGTGAAGTGTTGACATTTTAAATTACCCAAAATAACCAGCCATTATTTAACACTGTAATAAACAAATACATCGAGCTTTTAATACAGATGCAACAAATGAGGGTCATAAACTATATTTTAAAAAGCAAATATCATAGACAACTGAGCACCATTAAAAAGCAAATGTCACTCAATACAAAACTCAAAGGGCATCAAACATATAATCGGTAGTGTTTTGAGTATCATGTTAACTCTATATACTTACCCCATAAACTTGCTATTTTGAAGGTTTAAGAAAAAACTTGATATACTCTCTTTTCAAATGGTTATTGTTATATGGGAATATGGGAAAAATGACAGTTTCATGAAAAATAAACCTTACAAATGAAAAAAAAAACTCATAACGGTGGTGCTCGATTGATTTAAGTTTGGGCTCCAAAGATCAAAAGTGGCTGGAGGTCCCAGATTCGAATCCAGTGAAGAATAAAAAAGTTTGTGGCTATAGAGGTTCAAATACGGTGACTTCGGATTAGCGGGGTGGTCGCCCTGATAGGGATGGTGATTTACCCCGACCTGGTAGGGAACCCGGTTCACCGACCCGAACGGGGACGGGGATTCCCCGCTAAAACGGGTCCCGTGGCCGAGGATCCCTGATAAAATAAATATAATGTATTTTGACAGATCTGTACATATACAAGACAAGTTTAGGGTTTGATCTCAAACCCTATTGCTAGACTCAGCTGTAGATTAAGCCAAAAAATGCTCTTTCACATTGATGTATTTGAAGAGAGTCGTAGAGTTGTCAGTAATCAACCTTTTAAGGTAAAAAATAAATAGAGACTATTATTATAAAACAAAGCAAAGAACAGGGGCTAAACTGTAAAATAGTGAAAGATGAGGGACGTTATCATATATTTTGCCAGACCGGGAAGTAGATAAGGTCTTGTGATCGTCTTTCTACCTCCGTAACTGTTTCTAAACCAGAAGAGCAAATTATGAGTCTGATGAAATCTCTGGGTGCTTCGGCGGTGGTGAACTTGCCCACCGCCGCCGTCACCGCCACCCAACTCCATCACCATACACATTCTTTCCCCTTCTTGTCCTTGCCACAGCATTTGCCCATGCTAAACTCCACCACCACCAGTATCAGCTGGAGAACAACCACCTCCGTCAGGAAAGCTGTCGCCGCCGTCGATTCCTCCGACACCGTCGAAAAGGTCAGTTGTCGTTCCTAATACCATTATTGTAATTGACATGGAACAATTGCCGTATTTGAATTGCAGGACCGCGAAAAAAGGGGTTTAAGGTATTCAATAGACCAGGATCCGTAATCGATGAACTTAGATAACATACTGTAACCTGTGAATGATTATCATGGAAACGTGGTTAGAGTAACATCAAGTAATTTGTACTGTTTGGCAGTGGCTTAATCGTAGTGACAGATAATTTTTGGGGTGTTTGGGATTGCTTATTTGAAACAACTTATGTTTTTTTACAAAATCACTTATTAACTTATTATAAGTCAGAAGAAACACTTATCAACTTATTATAAGTCAGTAGGGTTTAACTTCTTCAAAAACTCCTTTTTACCGATTTGGCACGGGTACATGATGTTTATCCAAACACTTAAAAATGCTTATTACCGGTGTCACACCGGAATTAGTCAATAAATTGTTTTTATAAGCAATCTCAAAAGTGACTTATTCATTTAGCTTCTAAAGTGGAGTTTTATACATAAAGTCTTAAGTTTTTTCCCAAACTTGTTCCTCCCAATAAAGAAACATGCTTATTTCATTTATGAAAAACCCTTCTACACAAAACCTTCCCAATGCATTAAGACATATTAATCCACAAAGACAACTTTATCTATTACAGGACTTAATGGAAAACTATCAACCAGCCCCTTTTAAGTAGTTTGTCATTTGATTAATTGGTCGAGACTTGTTGATAACCATCGTGTAGTTATGTTATGGGGCGGGGCCGCGAGAGAGTTTCAGTTTTCGGTGTTGGAGTTACAATTTCTTTTGCCAGTTTTGCACAAATCTTTGCATGAGCTCGAGTCCGATGTATTAACAAGGGTATATCATAGGTTATTTTATACCCACAACAAATAAACAAGCCCTTCAATTAAGGCCATATTTGGCAACAATAAACTGTCTTATTTTTTGAGCTTATTGAAAATGTCGCATTTGATTTGTCATAAGCTAGTTTTTTGAAACACTAGTGTTTCAATAGATTGTAGGGGGAGGGGGGTTACAATTGTCTTTTTCTTCCACTTATGTCCCTTTACGTTTTCCCAATTAATTTTTAAATATGTAATTTTAAGTTATTTTACATTGTCATCTGGTTTGTCATCTGCTCTACTTTTTGCCTTTTTGGGTACATGATAAGTCTGCATACATCCTACTCCGTGGACCCCACTTCTGGGTGGAATATACTGGGTTCGTTTGGTTATTTGCCTCTGAAGGTCATTGGAAAATATTGTTTTAGCATAACACACACCATGTTGCAAAATGCAGGAAAAAGAGAGTACCAAGACATACCATTTTGTGGTCGCGAATGCAAAATTCATGTTGGATGAAGAAGAACATTTTCAAGAGCAGTTGTTTGAAAGGGTTCGACTTTTCCAAGAGCGAAACATGGAGCAGGATTTTTGGCTCGTTATTGAACCCAAGTTTTTAGACAAGTTTCCGAACATTACAAAGAGACTCAAGAGACCTGCCGTTGCGCTGGTTTCCACCAACGGAACCTGGATCAAGTAAGCCCACCACCACGCTACACTTGAAAATAACCAACATTTAGCTAGCGTAGAAACTAGACAGGAGGAAGGGGGTAGGGTAGTGAGCTGGTGGTTAGGCCTCCGGGTAGACTAAGGGGTCATTTACCAAATGCTTACCGACAGGAATCACCACCCTCACTTACCTTATCGAATAACACTATTGGCCATCAAAATGGATTGCTGGTAAGTGTCTCTTACCCGGCAAGCGCCAACCAGGTAAGAGTCTTCTCCCGCACTTATCAGGTAAGATTCTCGATCCATGTCATGCTTACCCTAAGGTAAGTGATACATGGTAAGCCCTTACCCAGTAAGCGTTTGGTAAATGGCCCCTACGGGTGTGTAGTTGTTCTTATCATGGTTATGTTTTTTTGTACGTCCTTTTGTTTGTATGTCGTTACTTACTTCTAACCCCTTCCCCAAAGTTTAGCCTATCCGCCTTCTTGTTTTCAAGCTGTTTATTTATTTAGTAATTTTTTTCCCGGCACATTTTACACAAGTCTCAGGTCTTCACAGAAACAACCTTGTTGTTTCTTCCTGAGGTAGAGGTCAGGTCTGCGTATAACTCACCCCAACGTACGAATGACAATCTCTTCTTTACCTTGACATACGATGTGCTACATCTTTTAATCTATATCTAAACGATAAACAGGTTCATGAAGTTGAGACTGGATCGAGTTTTGTTAGAAAGCTTTGAAGCCGAGAGTGTTGAAGAAGCATTGGCATCCAATCCCGTTGATATAAAGTTCGAGAAACCAGATAAATGGGTCGCGCCATACCCCAAGTACGAGTCCGGTTGGTGGGAATCGTTCTTGTTGCCAACCACTCAGAACCAAGAAACGTGATATATAATCGGTAAGCGTATGCACGGTGAAGATGGGTTTATGTCGAAATCTAGAGCTCATGTGATGCCTAAAGGTGTCTAAATGATGGTTGTAGGACCAAGTAGGAAGGTGTGTATGTTTGAGGTTATAAGAATGCTATGTACCATTTGGCAAGTTTAAACTTTGAGTTGAGTTTACACCTTTTTGAATGCGATTCTTTTTGTCGTCTTTCGGCATCTGTACTCGTAGAAGTTTGTGTATATCTTACTCTTTTCGGACCTTGAGATTTACCGGGTTCGTTATTTGGTTTGATTTTTGATTTTGTTCTCTTTTGGGTATAAACGAGTCGAGCTTTTGAAGGGCTACTCGAGCTCAAGTCGGTTTTGGACACAAATTAAAACTCGCTTACCCTAACATTTCCTACTTGTCCGACTGTTGCCGACCAATTTTTGGATAACAAACGGACTTAAAGAGTCGAGCTCCACCACAAATTAAAACTCGTATCCGACAAATGAAGTGAAGGCTCTTACTCGAGTAAGCACTTATCGTGTAAATTGTTGTATGTGATATCTTTTTATTGTACTGTAATTTTATCCGGTAAAATAAATTATAGTTGTAACTCCTACCGATAAGCACTTACAGGTAACCATCTCGGTAAAGGTCCCTTAAACAAGACCACCAATAAAAAAATTTAAAAATAAATATTTAAAAAAAATAATATTTTAATATTATTATCAATGTAGAATAATTGGTTTATAATGAGATTGAAATATAAATTATTTTTAAATATTTTAATTTTTTATTTTATATAAATTTTAAAATAGGGCAAAATGCACAAAATAACAATCTACTTTCATAAATTTCTTTATTATAACATTGTACTTTCAGTTTTTCTTATTACAACAATGTACTTTCAAACTATTTTTTATTAAGACATTGTACTTTGAAAAATTTACCCATTATAGCATTGAATAACCTTTTGATTTAAATTTACTCATTATACTAGGTTTCCATGCCACCTCATTGTCCACGTAGGCTGTCCACATGTACTATATTGATGTAATTTCCTACTACATCATTGTACTTTCAAAATTATTTCATTATAGCATCTACTAGTTCTTATTAAACACTGTATTTTTAATTTTAATATTTAGATTTTTTACATGTTATTTAATAAATGTATTAAATGAATTAAAAAAATTCTAAATTATTCATTAATATATTAATATCAATAAAACTAGTAGAACACAACTTATCT